TCCATGTGAATAATCACAGATATAGGGTGCGCAAATGTAGAACCTAATAAATGTAAAACATGATATTAAATTCACAGACTGGAGAAAGATGCTGAAACAGCACCTTGACATGGATGGCCGATGACTCTAAAAATAGGTTATTGATAGTCTAGCCAAAGGTTCTCTTGTAGAGAATCTTTGGTTTGGTCAGGCCAATATTGCACCGGCTGAAACAGCACCTAGACACGGATGGCTGGTGCCTGCTCTATAAACTATACATAGATTATTGATGGTCGGTGGTGGTAGAGAATCTTTGGTTTGGCCTGGTCAATATTGCACGGGCTGAAACAGTACCTACTGCTCTATAAGCTATAAATAGAAATATTGATTGGTCTGTGGCAGTAGAGAATCTTTGGTCTGGTCAGGTCTGGTCAGCCCAAATTATCAGCGGATGCAAGATCCGCTTTCCAGAAAAAAAGGTATAGATTAATCCCTAAACAGATTCTAAAATGATTTAATTATGTGTACTTGAATTATACACATTTCAAAAGCAATCTGAAATTACTAAATAAAACCTTAACTTAATTTCAAGCAGCAACTAAAACTTGTCTTCCCAAAGTTAAGCTAAATAGACTAATACTAATACTCGACAGTTGTAAATAATTAAAATTCATTGAAACAGTCAAATTGTAAATCATTTTCAAATAGAAAAGAATAAGAAATCGTGATATTTTTGCATTTGCAATATATTTAATGATTATTTCCCGTGGCAATGTCTGACTACTTTCTTCATTCGCTTGCTGCAGATTTGGGATTTCCAGAATGAGGTCTCTCTCTCTCTCTCTCTCTCTCTCTCTCTCTCTCTCTCTCTCTCTCTCTATCTGTCTCTCTCTCTCTTTCTCTCTCTCTCTCTCTCTTTCTCTCTCTCTCTCTCCCTCTCTCTCTCTCTCTCTCTCTCTCTTTCTCTCTCTCTCTCTGTCTATCTCTTTCTCTCTCTTTCTCTCTCTCTGTCTCCCTCTTTTAAATCTTCTTTTTTTTGTAGTGTTTCACTGCGCTCGCAACTGCATAGGCAAAATAAGGTCATATTAGCGCGCGGAACACATTGAACATTTTCAGAAGGTCGGAAATTTTGAATTTTGCCCGAGTGACGGCCGAAGTTTTCTTTTATCAATATTGGACCACCAAGGGATCTTTAACGCGCGCAACTTTGCACACAGAACCTGTTAAGATTTGTCACACTTCTCCGAGAAGACTTGTTGTTATATCTTACCAACCGTTAGATCATGATGTGGCTGAAAGACAGCTGTAAGAAGGAGCGAAGGAGTAACAGCAGAAAGGCTACAAAAAAGTCAGGAGCCCAGAGGAGGGGGTGAAGGAGGTGACGGAGTGGGGGCAGAAAGTGGAGACGAAAGAAGACGATAGAACATTATTGTTAGAGAGCAGGAAAGAGGTGATAAGAAAACATTTTAGTTAGGAAAATGTTCCGTCGCTATCCAGATTCGAACCTGAGACTTATTGAATGAGAGGGAACACCTTAACCTCTAGGTCACGAGGTCTCTCCAAACCTAGGAGAGAAAGAAGAGGGGGTATATAAAATATATATATAGCCAAGATAGGTCAGTGCATTATAGTCTTGAGGTAGAGCTCAGCTTAATAACATTCTTTTTCTTTATTTTCAATGTAATAATGTGCTTTTACGCCCCCATCAACACAATTTAGATATTTTAACCGTCTGACTTCGACCCTGCACGTCAGGGCCAACGTAGGCTGAGCGGGATGCTTTATTTTACTTTTATCCGCGGCAATAAATACTATACCCTTTTGGGTGTCGCGGGAAGAAAGAGACGTCTCTCTGCCACCAGCAAGAGAGCTTGGGTCAGGGGGATGCCGTGAGCTGTTAATGTTTCCCTGACTCCATCTATCCAGGTCTTTCTTGGTCGCCCTGTAGCCTCGTTGCCATTAATTTTTTTGGATTTTTTTATGGAGGAACGTTGTGCTGGATGGTGTGTTGGTAATCGCCTAAGATGTCCGAAACCATTTGATTCTTTGGTGTTGGATTCGATGCATGACATCATTGTGCCCACCATTTCTCTGACTACTGAGTTCTAATTTTGTCTCGCCTGGTCTCGTTTACTGCTTTACAAAGACACCGCATTTCACAAGTTGTAATTTTTTGCTCCAGTGTCATGTTCGTGGTCCATGCTTGGCATTAAGAGAGATGCAATATCCCAAAAGGAAGACCAGAATGCTCGATAAAACATCTCCACACACGTGATTGAACTCAGGTTTTCTACATGCGAAGGCAAAACGCCTCCCTACTGCACCATAGATGCAGATAGGAATATCTTGTCCTTCTCTCTCTCTCTCTCTCTCTCTCTCTCTCTCTCTCTCTCTCTCTCAAACACACACACACACACAAACAAACACACACACAAACACACACACACACACACACACACACACACACACACACACACACACACACACACACATACACCTTTCACCTATCTCGTTTTTCGATCACATAATTCATTGAACAAATTTCAGAAAGCAATGCTGAATTTACACAATCACGTATTTCATCGTTTATTGTTTTAATCCAAAGACCATTAATGCATAGTAGACAACAAGCGACATCCTTTACAGTGGTAGCGTTTTCGCTGTAACAAAGTTTAAAAGTATAAAAAGAGTACAGTAAATTGTTGCATATTATTGCATGTCAATATCATAGGGGCAAAAACTCATTACGATTTATAAGAAAAATAAAACGTCTTATAAAAACAGAGATGAATGTAAAAGTGTTGACAGCATCAGAAAGATAAAAGGGGGGTTGGGGGGGGGGGGGGAAGGGGGCGAGTTACACTCAGCAATGGCACGAACAAAAAAATTAACGGCAGCATTAGTTTAACAAAGAAATATTTTAAATGTATAAACAGACAACCAGTGTCGGAGGGTAAGGGGGACAACCCAGTGCATAGGATAGAGAGAAAGTTTAGGTGGAGTTATCTGTTAGAATACAGGATAGAGAGCCCAGAGAAAGTCCATGAAGGGTTGTTTGTTAGAATACAGGATAGAGAGAAAGTAGAAGAACTGTCTGTTAAAATACAGGACAGAGAGAAAGTAGAATAACTGTCTGTTAAAATACAGGATAGAGAGAAAGTAGAAGAATTGTCGTTAGAATACAGGATAGAGAGAAGTTCCTTAAACGCGAGAGAATTCAATGCCAAATTCATTTTGTTGCTCATTTATGGGCTTCTTTTCCAGCTGTCGTCAAGGTAGACATTTGTGAACTTCTAAAGACAGTCCTTCATTACAAAAATATTATGCCTCAGCCCTCCCCGTTTCTCATCTATACCCCCTCTGTTCCACATCCCCATGACTGATGCACTTTTGTTCAACATATTATGTGTATATGTGTGTCTGTGTGTGTGTATGTGTAAGTGTATGTGTGTGTGTGTGTGTGTCAGTGTGTGTGTCGATGTGTGTGCGTGTGTGTGTGTGTGTGTGTGTGTGTCGATGTGTGTGTGTGTGTGTGTGTGTGTGTGTGTGTGTGTGTGTGTGTGTGTGTGTGTGTGTGTGTGGTGTGTGTGAGTATGTGGGTGTGTGTTCGCTTGTGTTTTGTTTTGTAAAAAAGTAAGTGTGAAAATTTTACACCTCCACCGACATAATGTAAATTATGATTTAGAAGACAGGCTTCAGTCCTTGCCTTCAGGGTAAACCCGGGCGGAGAAGGATACAACATCCGCAGAAAAACTGAAACGCTCAATAAAAAATTCTCCCCACTAAAGAATCAAACTCAAGTCTCCTGCATTTAAACCAAGAAATGCATTATAACAGCTACACCACAAACAACAGTTGTTTTGTTTTGTTTTGTTTTTTGTTGTTTTTCCCCCCCTGAAAAATAACCAAATGTGAACAAGAAACTAGTTGAGCGTTGCAATTACTATTTTGCCCATAGCTTAACGTTGAAAGCATAATTTCTTACTTTAGCCTCAAATTATACTATTGCATGCCACCAGCTTGTTCTATTGCTACCTCCCAGGAGGTCTTCGCAACAGCTTAAGGTTCGAGCACACCTATTGCTTGAAAAAATGGAGAGCAAAAAAAATCCATAAGTTGACTTCAGTCGTCATTTTGAACGAGCATCATGGTGAAATCAGGCGCTCTTAAAAATAATGAAATCACAGAAAACAGCATTTTTTCTGCTCGTTGTTGGGCATAATATTTTTTTCAATTTTGAATTTTTGAATTTTTGAATTAAAAATTTATTTTTTTTGGGAGGGGGGGGGGGGGGGGGGGTTGCACGTCACCTTTAATATGTCCCTTTATTGACAAATTTCTGGGTTGATTTTGCTTTAAAATCATTGATAAAAAGTTTTAGATGTCAACAAACTCTTGTATGTCGGCCTACTCGCTAATTTTACATGGGAAACCAGGCAACCCTCTCCTTCTTTAATCACAAATATCTCTACTTCTATTCAAGACAAATGGGTATTTCTTAAATCAAAAGCAAGACAAATTAACAAACTTTAAAAAGTTATCAATAGCTTACTATAATGTTAAAAAGAACAAATAATAATGAAAATAATTTTTGAGCGCCTGATTCCACCAGGTCATAAATGGTCGCTTTTAAGAACAAGCGGGCTAACCCAGATTTTGGGGGTTTCCAGAAATCTTAACCTACATCATAATTGGACATTGCTCTACCTATAGGAGAAGTTTGGTTTCATTGGTGTGTATATTTGTTAGGTTATAGAGAAAACTCTTCTTGTCTTTTAAAGAAACTGAACAAGGGGCAAAAACTTTACCTTCAATTTTCTCAAAACAGCATTTTTCGGGATAGCCCCTTTGTGCTTAAGACTTAAAAGCAACCAAATGATACACCCTTCATCCGGGGTTGGCCCTGACACATGGTCAAGTCAAACCTGGCCAACCTCCACGGTGACATGAATTGTGTCGATGGAGATATAAATATAACTTACATTTATTTCTCCGGTCGTAGATGTTAGTAATCAAATCGATTTCATTTTCGTTCTTTTAATGCGATGAATAAAACTATGAATGAAACAATTAGTTAATGTATTAACATGTATAGATGCCCGATCCAGGTACATGTACATTTTAAGCGTACAATCATTTGCACATTCATAAACACGTATTGCACAAAAACATGTACATATGTAAACATGCATTAATCATATGCCACAACATATTTGCCATTATTAGACTTTAATGAAAATTTTGGTCACAAACACCTAAATGTGAGACAACGTGGTGAAATCAGGCGCTCTCAAAATAATGAAATCAAAGAAACCAGCGTTTTCCCTGCTCGTTGACACCTTTTTCACTTAGTTTTTTTCTCAGCACTTTTTACGAGCATTTAAAAACACATTTCTGTTTGGATTTTACTGAAAAAACATTGATCAGAGGCACAAACGATGTGCATTTCAATTTGCAGTTTCCAGGGACTCACTCGAAGTCACCAAAGTTTGGCTTCTAAAGTCCCCCTGATTTTATCTCTACTACCAGGCCACCCCTACCTCATTTTGACACAATTAAGAGGCAAACTTGACTTTTCTTCAAAATAGATAGATATTTATTTAATCGGTAGCAAGATAACTAAAAAAGTTTTATGATAATACCAATAACTCCATATATATATATTATATATATATATTTATATGCCCAAAAACTGATGAGCGCGCCAGATTCCACTACGTCGTGACATGTAAATGAAACAGCTCAGGGAAATCCCGGTTATGCTTTGACTAGAGTCTGGTTACACTTCACATCAGGGGCAGCGTCAAATAACGTGGTCTGTGGATGGAGGGAAAGGAAAAGACAGTAGAGCAACAACAGCAATTGCAGCAGCAACAGCAACAACAACAATAGCAGCAGCAGAAACATCAAAAGCAGCAGCAGAAACAATGGAAGCAACAGCAGCAGTATAGTAACTTTAACAATAACAGCATCAGTGTCCGCAGAATTGATCCAACAATAATAATATTATCAAAACAACAATAGCAACAACAACAACAACATCGACAATCACAACGACAATAACAACACCAATGAAGACAACTTTACTTTTACTTTTTACTTTTATCCGCCGCTTATACCCTTTAGGGTGTCGCGGGAAGAAAGAGACGTCTCTCTGTCGCCAGCCAGAGAGCTTGGGTCAGGGGGATGGCGTGGGAGGTTAATGTTTCCCTGACTCCATCTATCCAGGTCTTTCTCCGTTGCCCTCTAGCCTTGTTGCCATCAAATTTTTTGTTGTAGGCACGTTGTGCTGGATGATGTGTTGGTAATCGTAGGAGATGTCCGAACCATTTGATTCTTTGGTGCTGGATGGGATGCATGACTTCATTTGTGCCCACCATTTATCGGTTTACAATTTCTAATTTTGTCTCGCCTGGTCTCATTTACTGCTTTTCTAAGGCATCGCATTTCACATGTTGTAATTCTTTGCTCTAATGTCTTGTCCATGTTTGGCATTGATAGGTAAGAATTGAGATGAATATGGTGTTGATCATTTTGAGTTTTGTTGTCATGGGGATATTAGGATGTTTCAGTAGTTTAGTAAGCTGGTAACTAACATGATTGGCATTTTGTACTCGTGTTTCAATTTCTCTGTTCAGTCGCCCTTCCTCTGTGAATATACTTCCAAGGTATTTAAATTCTTGGACCTATCTGAGACTGTTGTTGTTGATGTGTATCCTGAGTGGTTCTGGCTTTCTGCTTACTTTCATTGTCTCCGTTTTGTTGATGTTGATCTTCATGTCGTAGTTGTTACATTCTTCGTTTAATCTGGTGATGTGGTGTTGGAGACTTCGTTCATCTTTTTGTGCCAGGCTTTGGTCATCAGCGAAGAGTAATTCATTTAGGGCGTCTGATTCTGTGTTGGCCTCTTTTGTAATTCTTTCCATATATATGATAAATAGTAGTGGTGATAGGACACAACCTTGTCTTACTACGGATGCTATCTCGAAACATTCTGTGAGTCCCTCTGACATTCTTACTGTACTTATGCTGTTCTCGTAAATGGCATGCATGTTATCTAGAAGTGGGCCTCTTACAGTGTAGTTTTCGAGTTCTTTCCACCGCTTTCTTCTGTTTCCTCTGTCGATCGCTTTCACCTGGTCGATAAATACTATATTTAGTTCCCTGTTGTGTTCTTTTATCATTTCACACATTTGTCGTAGGGCAAATATTGCGTCGGTGCATCCTCTTCCCTTTCTAAATCCCATTTGGGCTTCACTCAAAAATGGTTCAACTTTGTGTCTTGCTCGCCATTCCAATATCTTGGCGAGCATCTTGCCCACATGGCTTAGCAGTGAAATGCCTCTATACATTCCACAGTCTCTCTTACTGCCTTTCTTCTTCCAGATTGGTACTATGACCGCTTTTTACCAGTCGCCGGGAACTTTTCTTTCTGTCTATGCTTTCTGGAAGATTTTTGTGAGCCATGTTATTCCAGTTTCACCACATGCTAGGATGGTCTCCGTGGTGAGCTCATCTATTCCTGCACTTCTGTTTTTTGGGCTTGTTTTAACTGCTCGTCTGACCTCTGATAGTAGGATGGTTGGTTCTTCTTCCTCTGGGTGACTGGGTTGGAATTCTTTGTTTGTTTGCTTTTGGGTGGTGTTCAAAAGTTCTGAGAAATATTCCCTTCATCTAGATTTGATTTTGGAGCTATCAATAATGGGGTTTCCTGTTTTGTCATTAATTATACCTGTAGGATCGTACGGTTCTTCTCTGAGCCTCATTGATTTTAGACTTCTGTAGAAGTCACGTGGTGATTTATGGCACAGTTCGCTTAGGTGTTCTCCTTATTTTGTCCATAATTCATTTTTTGATGCTCTAACAACTCTTTTGCAGTTCCTTCTTGCTAACCTGTACTGCGTGTAGTCGTTTCCGTCCTAGGATTTTATCCATTTCTGAAAAAGTTTCTTCTTCTCTGTGATGGCCTCTTTAACGTTGTTATTCCACCATGGTGTTCCCTTAACGTACCTTTCCCAATTCTCTTCTTTCCACATACTTTTATCAGTGTTTCTGTTCGTAAGTTTTTAAAGAGAGTCCATGTTTCTTCCACGTTCATAGAACTGGTGTCTCGGTTTTCTAGTCTCTGTGTGATCTCGTCCTCAACTTTCTGCACATTGCCCTCTTCATTGAGTTTTCGCAAATTAATTTTCTTTGAATGCTTCTTCTGTTTTCGCATGGGTCTTTTTTTTCTCTTTACTCGTCATCGTCACTGGTCGGAAATCTGTATCAAAGGTGATGTTTGGGATTGATCTTGCATCAGTTGTTTTTGTTCTATGGGCAATGAAGACAACAATGACCAAATAATAACGAGGATGATGATGGGGTATTTGAAAATGGAAATTTACTTTCAGGCAGACAGGAGGGTGGACTGATAGAAAGACAGACCGACAGATAGACAGACAGATAGACAGACAGACAGACAGACAGACAGAGGGTAAAGAGACAAACAGATAGTCCGTCTGTCTCTCAATGTACAGCTCTCTCTTAGTGATCCATGTGCTTCAGGTTTCTTAGAAGTAAGGTAATATTCCATGGATGGATGGATGGATAGATGTAAGAAGGGAGAGAGTGAGTAATGGATGGATGGATGGATGGATGGATGGATGGATGGATGGATGGATGGATGGATGGATCGATGGATGGATGGATGGATGGATAGATGGATGGATGGATGGATGGATGGATAGATGGATGGAAGGGGGTGAGGAATGGATGGATGGAGGGTTGGATGGAAGGATGGATGGATGGATAGATGGATGGAAGGGGGTGAGGAATGGATGGATGGAGGGTTGGATGGAAGGATGGATGGATGGATGTAGGAAGGGAGGGAGTGAGGAATGGATGGATGGACGGATGGATGGATAGTCTCTCTGTCTCTCACCGCCAACATTTCTCCACCATTCAGCTCCCTGGTTGTGGTCCACGTGGCTTCAGGTTTTTCGGGCACACGGTAATACTCCACCCATTTGCCACCCTCCATCAGCACTTTACACTGAAACCAACAACAATATTTACTGTAAATACAACAGAATCCACTGAAACCAAACACGATCAATCCTTTTCTTTTCCTTTGGTAAGTGTCTTACGGTGCTCGCAACAGCATAAGGTCATTTGAGCGTGCGGGACACATTAAACATTTTCAATTGGTAAGAAATTTTGAGAATTTTGCACCGGTTGCGGCTGAAGTCTACTCTCATCGATATTGGATCACCAAGGGATCTTTAAGGTGCGCAACTTTGCACAAGGAACCTTGAAGATTTTTCACACTTTTCCAAGAAGGCTAGGTGTTAGATCTTACCTACCAAGAGATCTTTAATTCATTATATCGGAAACAAACAATTATATAATTCATTATATCCGAAACAGAACAAAATCGGAAATGAAGAAGTATATTTACTACTGTGTGCATCAAAAGTCGCCAGACTGGACCGCACTGATCATGAAAGAGTTCGAGCTCTCATGTTCTCAAAACAACACACGTGTGGGTTGGCCGGTGCTTGGTGTTAGTTGACCGAACATTTACTAACATGTTGTCACATTTTATGTATATGACCAACATCAGCTGATCATACTACAGCATTACAGCAAAGACGACAACAACGACAACAACAGCAACAACAGCAACAACAATAACACCATAATCGTCCCCACAATCACTACCAATACCCCCATCAGTATCACAACAACCATCCCCACCACCACCACAACAACAACAACAGCAACAACAACAACACCAATATCATCAACAATACCACCACCACCAGCATCACAACATCAACACAATCACAACAACAACAACAACAACAACAACAACAACAACAACAGCTACAGCAGTAACAGCAGCATCAACAACATCATCCCCTCAAATACCTTAGCCTTGGAGCCGTCAGGCCCGGTGTAGTCAAACTCCTCCCCCAGCTTAAAGTTGAACTCCAGTTTTGGATTGCCGTAGTCCAGAAAAGCCCTATGGGGAAACAAGACTCAGTTATTAGAGTAAACAGAAACACACACACACACACATACACTCACACACACACACACACACATACACTCACGTACACACACAAACACACACTTCACCCAGGTGGGAATGGGTACACGCCATAGACAGCAAAAGATCTTGTCAGTATGTTAATGTTTTAGCCTCTACAAAATGGCAGCTTGCACTGTATGCTTTACAGGATGTTGAAATTGTTTCAGAATGCCATCAGATCTGCTAGAGTAATGATATAGATTGCAAAGCATATACAGTTTGCTGCTAAGCCGGAATTTGCATTGTACAAATTATGCTCTCTATTATCATCAATATTATTTTATCATTATTATCATCATAATCATTAATATTATTATAATTATTATTT